GCTAATTACTCATTTTATACCACCGGTTATCTAGCAGAGAACATTGAACCAATCCTACATGCCAGTTAATCCAAAACAATGTAATTTACCATAATGAACATATGTAGAAAATTAAAAATAAGGACAACTCTTTCTACCTAAATATCAAATTTCTAAAAAGTGTGTGAGCTTAACACTATGTATAAATTCTGCTATGTGACCTTGATACAAAGAATCTACATGTTAATCAGCTCTAATATGCAAAAGTCCTGCATGTTTATCACAAATTCAAATAGAAGACGTAAGCTTGACAACCCCAATAAAGACTGCATTATTTGGCCATGATTGTGTTTTAAATGATAATTACTATAAAAGAAAAAAAACTAATTTCTTTTTCACTGCAAAGCAGTCATCCCTTGCTATATACAGGTTGTGTTAATTGAAAAATTGTACTTTGTGTCCACAACACCACTCTCTGAAGAATCAGGGTTTCTCAGTCAGGTTGTGAATTCTACGGTAGTGCTCATCCGGTCAAGCCTGAGCACTAATTTTGAATGAAATAATACTAAAAAATATATGTGAAAGGAGGCTTTTATGCTATAATTTACTCTTACCAACACTGTTTCCTCTGGAGTCATTTGAGTGTGTTTATGGTATTATGTGTGGTGAGATGTTTCTGTGTTAAAACTAATGGCTTTGAGCAAGAACAAATGTGGGCCTAGAGTCCTAGTCCCTGCTGCTAACACAAGAGCTGTCTACAAATATTGAATATATTTAGCTTTTTACTTGCAACAGTTGCCCCTTAAGGCTCTCTCTCTCTTTCTCTGTGTTGTTCAAGTGAATGATAATAATTACTCCAGCTATGTGTGAGCACACTGTCTGCATAAGCAGCTCATCATCTGTACTTTTCTATAGACTTTTTGGAAAAACGGGACGTGAACAGTGCCTTTAGTGTGATGATTCTTAAAGGTCAGGCTGATTATTTTAAAATTACAGACTATCGCTGTGCCAAGGTGGCGAGATGAGCAAGTTAGATAGAGAGGGGAAAAATTATTTTAATGCACTACTCATTCACTCTTAGCAGTGGGTAAGATTTCCGCTGTAATAAAACTAATGGTGCTGGCAGACTGAAAGATGTAGAACACTGAAGCAGAATGAAAAGATTTTATTTACAGAATTCTAAAATAGGAAACAATGTTTCTTTGAAGGCAGAGAACTAGTTGGTCTCTGTCTGATAACATAGTTGCCATTAAGGTGGGCAAGTAATTGGTGAGGATCCAAAGACTTGATGCGTAGAAAGCTTGCTGGTAAATATGGAAAACCAAGAGCAGACAGAAAACCCAAATATAATTACGATAAATCAGTCCTGATATTCGGTAAACTGGTGACTGGGAGAGGGAAAAAAATGTATGAATATGAGTATATATCAGAGACCATGTAAAATAAAAATACAGTAATGAAGAATATTTCAACATTGCTGAGTTAATTCATGTGGTGGAATATAGAAAAAGAAGAAGAAGAGGCAATGAAAGCACAAGATAAAATTCAAACAATCAAACAAAATCATACAAATTTAATTTGGAGGAGAGAAAAAAATATGTATCCACATAAATGTAAAAACATAATGATTAACAAACTATGTTGGAGCTAACCCATGTTGGGTATAATGTGTTAGAAAGTAACACGTAAAATTTTTTCAGAAATGGAGTAATGTAACAAGTTACTGCGATTCAGTAATCACATTACAGTTCCAATTATGTTGTTACTTGCATTATAAAGTTATAAAGTTATCTGCATTCAGGACCGATAGAAAGACAGAAAACATCAAACGTCTATATTTCTACGTACTTGTGTTACAGTCAGCCGATATTGGTTCAAGGCAGAAAATGATGCATGGGTCTACAAATTTTGATGAATGGAGATATGGACACTACTTTTATTTTTATTGCATGAAAAGACAAGAGCATAAAGGTAAAGTGGAAACTGCATCCAGGACAGAAACAGCTGCATTTTACTTCTAACTCAACATCGGCACTTTGGAAATATCTGCACAGACAGCATGCTAACACAAAGCCAAGAGCCCACATTGATGTTAAAGCTGAGTGTATGCCAACCTGAGTGCAGCGGCATTTTTTTGAGTACCAATACCTTCACTGGTGTGGATGATTTCACAGCTGTATTTAAATGAATTATAACTACTCCATAACTTCGCCTCAGTGGCCGTCTTTGCTACCACAGTAGTACTGCACCCAAACGCACTTTTCTTGCCACTCAGTCCACATTCTTTCATGATGCTTTCAGGTATCTGAATAATTTATCACTCAATGTTTTTCCAAACACTTCATTGCAGTAGGCAAAATCCTCCAGTGTTTTCCTTTCTTATAAGTGGCAAGATAATGAGTTGAGGTACATTTGCCACTTCTGTTGATTTGTTCTAATAGAAAATACGTTTTCTCGCATGAACACTATCTGAGACTAATATCATCTGAAAATTATTCATGTCCCTCCATACTATGACATTGGATCAAGGAAGAGCTTTTCAATTTGTTAAATGCCCCTGGCCTTAAAAGAGCAACAACAATTTTTAGCATGGTTTCTTGCATTTTTGCTGTGAACTGAATTACAAAATGAGAAACTATGCTAGCAGCTTAACCCTTTGATATTTACAACCAAGTCAAGTTACTTGAAAATAGTAATTAGTTACTAATTACTGATTACTTCTCCAAGAAAGTAATCCTGTTACTATACTAATTACTTATTTTCAAAAGTAATTAGCAACTTTATTACTTAGTTACTTTTTAAAAACATAATCCATCATATAATATTTAACCAAATGAAAAAGCCTCTTTTTTTGCTTTATTGGTTTTATTCTTTTAACTACATGCACATTGCATCAAGCAAAAATTTAATTGAATGCAACAGTCTCTGAGTGGAGATTATTTGTTTAACATTTAAACCTATTTTCTGCATATTCCAGCATATAAAATAAAAAAAAATATTTTTTTGTGTTTACACTCACTCTTTCAAATAGATGCAAGTAAAACACAGCAAAAATGTGCCGCAGCGGTCATGTCACTGGGGGGATCTGGGTGTTCCTCTGTGAATTTCACATTGCTGTGGCAGCGTGATAGGTGCTTGCTCAGATTTGAAGTTTAATTTTTCGCTGTAGAAAGAAATTTTCTTACCACGCAGAATGTATAGGAGATGCTAATGTTCTTGTCACTTTTTACAGAATCAAACTTAAAGTAATGTCAGTACTTCCAATCTTTAAACCCTGCATGGTTGTACTCTCTCCCGCACTCCATATTATCCATTGTTAATCTACACACGTCTGTTGCACACGTCACATGTTCGTACATCACTGTCATGAGACGCTCTCACAAACAAACTCACGGTTTAGTAACGCAGCATGTTTATGGGAACGTAACAGTAATCGAATTACTTTTTTGCAATAGTAATCTCTTACTTTACTCGTTACTTGAAAAAAGTAATTGGATTACACTAAGGTGTTCCTGACCATCCCTGATAACAACAGAGGAATTTCTCATCATTTTTCAGTTGTAAGCAGTGTTCTAGGTGGTTTGACCGACAGTTTAACAAGCTGCCAGCATACTGGGATAAAATCCATGACATAAAAAAAATATTACAAAACAGAGCCATTACATTGGTCCAAAGATGTAATAAGTACCACAATAAAATAGGTTTACTGGCCAAAAAAAGCAGTGCGTAAAACATGTTTAAACATCCTTTTTTCAGGCATTTTTAGCTATTTTTAATAGGATATTTAGTACCTAGAGAGAAAATCATGCAGAGAATTGGAGAGTGACACGCCTGGATCAGCTTTTTCCTGGTCTTTAAGGTACCTCAAGGTACTCAATGTAGACACAGAAAAGACCATCTCACTCACTTATAGAACCATTGGACTATAAATTTTAAACCATACATGTTTGCAGCTGCTTTGTCCAATATGTCTCCAGTGCTGATTTAGACTGATTTCACCATGTTTTTGCATGTGTGTTTCCAGAGGTCATATGAACACTAGAATTTAAAACTTATAGGTAACTGCAGTGTGGATGTGTGGCTTTTATGTAAAAGGCATGCTGTGACACTTGTATTGGGCTCTTTGTTACTCAAAGTGGAAGCCGGGGGGAGGTTATAAAAGCTAACACAGTGGTTACAGTTTTAATCCCTTGAGTCATGACTTATCTCTCTTTCACTGGAGCAAGAGAGCAGCAGTCTTCCTGTGGGTCAACAGGCCTTTCCCCCCCCTTTTGTGTTATGTCCCAATGAGAAACTCTCAAGTTTTATCAGTAAGTAATGTAAGAATAAAATAAAAACCATTTTGTTTTCTGCAATAGGGAAGCGCAAATGAAGCACAGGGAGCCTAGGAACCAAGGGTACAAGTATCGCTATGACAGAGGCAGTGGAAAAAAGAGAAAGAGCAACAAAGATGATGGATCACGAAAAAGATCAGAAAGGTCTAATGAGAAACAAGCGCACTGACATATATGTAAAAGGATGAAAATACTAGAACTAACCTTAATGATCATTATCTTGTGTCTTCAACAGCAGCAGTGTCAGGAGCAGCAGAAGTAGCAGAGATGTTGGTGGGAACAGGGACAGGAGACACAAACAGAAAAGAAACAGAAAAGCCAAGACATGTAGGAAGAACAAGGAAACCAGCAAGTAGTTCTCTCCTAACAAAAAAGGAAATTAAAATCTGACTGACTTTCAGTCTCCCAGCCTGATTAACAGAGAACTGCCCTATGGCCTCTTACATTATATTGTTTCGGAAAATTAATTAATAGATAACATCATTCACAAATTAATATTTTCAGTAGTTATAATTCATTTAAATTAATAATTTTATTTGAAAAACTAAGGATAATTTCATGAATGTTTAGTACAGTATGCTTTCATTGTTTCTTTTTCTGTTGATTTTCTTCAGATGAAGGGAATGTATACATGTCGCTTTGTGAATCCCAGGGTGATATGCTTTTAATCATCTTTGTCACAGCAACCAATTTTTCAAATGATTTTATTGATCAGTTAACCAAATGTACCATCAGATATACTACACAGGCCGAAGCGTGACAGATAGAACTGCAGTAGATGGGCCTCAGCCCTTCCACTGATACACAGAAACCAAGTCATTTTTTTTCTTAAATGTAAGAAAATTAGTAAGGCCTCCACACTGTTATCTAATTAAATATCTTTTAACATGTTATGAACACATTAATCCTTTATTTTTTCATATATTTTCTTTGCCAGTGGTTTGATAGTTTAGCCATAGCTTCTGACATAACATAAAAAACCTCACAGACTACTACTTGGCAATGTGTCTTCAGATCAACAGATGAAGATGACAACCACTGTCAGTACAAACAGAATAAAGCCTACATTAAAAGGCCATACAACAAACAAACAAAATAAACATATTACAAGTGCTTGGATCTTTTTTAGACACCCAACAGTTACAGTAGAGAAATGTGAGTCCAACTTAACGCATATCCTAACATATAACTACTGGAATTGGCAACATGTTGTGTCTCCTGTCGGTACTCCCACTCGATGCCAGAGAATGATCATGTCCTCTAAACTGATAACACCCAACATCTTAGTTAAAAGTGTCTCAAGCCTGGATCCTCCCAGTTCAGCATTTTCTGAGGGGCACGTTAACCTCTGGTAACAATCCAGTCTTGTGTCTGTCCCCCTCCAAACTCCTGCCGAAGTCACGGCTGTCCATCAGACGTGAGGTATCCAAACAGCTACACGACTATTCTAAGCTTCTCCCTCACAGCAAAATTAGGTAGTCAGCCAGACTAAAGCTCTGCCTTTGACATTCCTTGGTCACTGCCACCGAAACAGTGCTGGATGGCTTAAAGCACTGCTACAGCAGGCTACCAGGCCAGGACACTATGGTCAGGGTGATTCTGCCACGGAGCTCCTTCAGAAGGCGAACCAGTGCTGTGTGTGTCATCCCCCAAGTACTCTTTCCATTCACCTCAAGCAGGATGTCTCCACACCTACACAGACAGAGAAATGGGAATTGAAAATGATCTTCTTTGACTTCTAAAACATTTTGCCCATGGGCAATTGTGGAAAAAAAGTGATATGCAACGAGCAGATACCTTATCCTGCCATCATTGTAAGCTGGTGTCCCCTCCACAATCGAGCGGATGAAAAAGGATTGATTGCAGTTGACCTCTTCCTGACCTCCAACAATACTGAAGCCCAGGCTGCCCGAAGTGCTCCGCCGCAGGACGATGTCTTTGCAGCAGTAGAGATGCCTGCATGAGCCAAGAGGGAGATTAATCACACTAATCTCTCAACGGCATCTTTAGATTACACATACTGTGCATCTATACTGAGCATGTGTGCTGTAGATAGAGTGCTGAAATGAGCCCCACTCTAAAGAGAAAGGCCTGGCTAACCTTTGAATGCAGGTGTGATTTGGACTTTGTATCAGTAGTGCACCAAATCACAGTCCAAAGCTAAATTTTCACTGTGACTTAGTGCTTGGTTTCTTTGCATCTCTGTTTCATCATACTTTATAAAACTAGGAGCAGCAGTTGTTTGTCGTTATCGGTACACAGCTGTCTTTCTAACACATCTTCTAAATTCATATGCTAGGAACATAGAGAAAGTTTAACTGATATCTTAGTGGTAAATATTTAAGCTGAAAGGTTAGTTTTAAAAGTATAATGAGCATTCCTTTCCCAGCTGGCTTTGTCAAAATTTCAGTTGGCACCAGCTGGCAGAGGTCACAAGGACCGGTGTGAGGGGTTTAATTTATACTGGCCTCAGAAAAAGCATACAATTGTACATGGAGATGATGCAAAGGCAGCAGTGGGTACTCTACCTGGGTAGCTGCAGCCATGACACCCACAGTGGGGAGTAATCGTCATTAGGCACCGGGCTCTTGATGCTGTCTGTAGGTGATGGCGTAAGACAAGGTGGCAATGTGCAATCTTGCACAAAGTCCTCTGGAGGACGCATCTCCAAAACCTTGAGCACAACAGGAGAGGAGGTGTTCTTCAAATTGGCCACGGCCTCACCTCGTGTTACCCCCGTCAAATCCATGCCATTCACATTTAACAAAATGTCACCTGCAGGGGAAGATATAGACAGCACAACTCAAGCTCTGCCTGGGGCTGATACCCTCATAACAGCTTAAAACAAGACGTGGGACACATCATCTGCCTATTTAATATTCATCAACCTCCACGCTAGAAGACAAAGAGATGGAAACTAAGCACCACCTGTGCTTTAAAAAGCCTCCTAGTGATGAAAGTGGTGCAAAGATAAATTGATAATCGCAGAGTCCATCTTGCTAGTAAGCAGCTCAAAGGACACATTTGCCCTGTGAGGATATGCAAATACAAATTAACACTCCATTACAAAACGCAAACATGTTTCATAACCGTACAAAAGGAGACAGCTGCTGCTGCTCTGTCCCTTATGAATACAATAATGTGCACCTTGAACCATGAATAGGACAACAGACTCAATTTACTTCTATTTTTATTAAGCCTTCATACTGTACTTCTTATCACCCATCTCAGCATTTCTCTCAATCCTCTCATAACCAGAGTTTAAGGCATTGAGATTGAGAGTAATGAAAGGCCTAATATGGTTCTATTTTAAGGTGAATATGCAGGAATCAGCATTTGGGGCTAAAAATCTTCCACTCTCCCTGCCTTCAGTAGCATTACAGGATTTTAAGGCTGCTGCTCTTCCATACAGCTATTGTGTGTCTCTTCATGTTTTGCTGGTTCGGTCTTGACGAATTTCATGTAGCAAAATAATTAGATACTTGAGAAATTCTCTTCTGCATTGCAATTGGAGTACAAGTCTCGAGCACTGCTATGCTAATGTTTGTTTGTGTTTTTGTTTAAATCTCTTAGAGCCAATTTGCGGAGCACTGAACCACAGCAGCACCAGAGTTTTCTGTTGCATGAATAACCTTCATAATGAAACATGAGCCTTAAATGTTCATCAATCACCCCATCTGTTCGTTACAAGTATTCATCACCAAACCCACATAAATACTGACAGAATTTTTATGCAATGAAACTCATGCTTAATCCACTATATGAGTAATTATTTGCACAGATTACAGACATCACATTTCTTCTGAAATACATGAGTAATATTCTAATGATTACATAATTAGATGACAACTCATTTTACCTTTGCGTATGGAGCCCTCTTGTCCCACCACTCCATCAGGGTCCACATTTGTAACGTAGATGGGGAGGTCCCACCCTCGGCTGGACATGCCGCCCGCCACTGTCATACCCAGAGAGTCATGCGGCTCCTTATTTAGACTTACTGTCTTCTCATAACATGCAGGCTTTTGACAAGAGTCCTTTACAGGAGACAGAAAGCAGACAGACAAATAGTTGAAGTAAAGAGTTTTTTGTAAAGTGACTGATTTTAAAAACAACCAAGGTTGTTTTTTATTCCTTCCCCTAATATCCCGTTTTCTTTTCCAACTGTGATGTTAATGGACATACCACACATTCAGAACTGATGCTGTCACTGTGGTGTTTTGAGTGTCCGCATGCACCGTCACTCCAAACATAATAATGACTTACACCAAGGGCATCTTAAATAAATTATATAATGTAATTAGATTTAGATGTAGTGCATTTGCATAATAATGAGGAGCGTTTTCTGTGAGACTTGCAATAATGGTAGAAGTCACATGAATGCCACCCATGCTGGGTTATGGGAACAAGAGCCCAATAACATAGACACAGTTAAAAGCTGATTGATGAATGACCTCGTCAGCATAATTGGTTAATGTATAATATATGGTGGTTATTATGGTAGAACATTAGGCAGCTCAAGTGCCTCCTCAGTCTTTGTCCATGTTGAATGCAGAGATTCATACACAGAGTCGTGATGTGTTATTTGATGTTTTGAACGAGGCATCGCATGGGATAAAGTGAATGAGGTTTTATTCATAGCAAGTGTGTGAGTCATATGAGGCAGAGTTGAATACTAATGAATAACACATGGACACACTGTGTTATTCATTGGTGGGATGTAGCTGGTCCTGCTTTGCTAATGTGCCACATTCACACGTTTTAGCTGCACTCACAACAAGAGATCACTTGACTGACCTTATGGCATGACAGTGCGAAAACTGAACACATTACCTGGCTTTCATATTAAAGCACTGTCAATTCTGTCTGTTTTTTCCCAGATTATTTGATGGCTTTTGATGAACAATAATGCTGTGTAGTGAGCAGAGTTTGTTACCTCCCAGCACAGCGAGCTCACATAAGATATTTTGTCATCTCTGTTCTTTATGCTTAGCCAAGCAGCTAGCCATTTCGTGTGGTGATTAAAGAACAACCACCTGGAGTTCAAAAGAAGGATTTCTTCTGTGGCATGCCAGTTATTTTTACCGGGTTTGTTTTAGGCAAAATGCTGGATAGTTGTTAAATAGACTGGCTTATCAGTATGTACACAACTTAAAGACTGAATTTAGAAGCTGGTGCAGTCAGTGTGACATAACCCACTGGTTAGTGGGTAATGTCACACTAACCAGTGGTAGTCAGCCAGACTAAAGCTCTGCCTTTGACATTCCTTCTGGTGAAGCTTCTGGTTGAGCATTTTGCTCAATCCCATCTTGGTGTTTTTAAACCTGATGTGACAAGTAAAGGCTGAATAAGTAGCTTACAGACACTGCATTCATACAGTGCTAACCTAAAGCACATCCTGATTTATCAATATTTTTTACACTACTGGAGTAATAAAACAAAAAGACTTGAAACTAGCACTTAAGATGTTAAACTTACCAGGAATGTATTTAGTGAGGTCATACAACAAATGAGGTCATTTTTCTGTAAACTTCTATGCATTCGGATGAAAGTGAGGATATGGCCCCTGATGGCCGCATAATGAAGCAGAGTATTGTACTTCTCATGTCTTGGAATATGTCTTGGCCAAACCACACGAATCCCTACTATTATAAATTAAATCACTCAGGTATAACATATAAGCTGACACTGGGAAAAATATTACGATTCAGTTAATATTGTGCTGTCCTAACTGGACTATTACTGGTTTGTCAACACTGCCCTAGACCACTGAACAATGTCCCCAAAACTAAAGATTCATGAAGCAGCATTATCTCGCTAGATGTCACCTTTGGTTTGACAATGAATCATTTCTTATCAGTCACTTCTCAAGCAGCCGCATTAAAGATATAATCAAAGATATATAAAAATATATGCATTTACATGTTTTGATCCCGGTGACATTGAAAGAGGAGGAACTCTCCACAAGATACTGTACTGTATATGCAAAATATCCCCAAAGTAGAGATCTGTAAGGAAGTTTGTGATTATAGTGATAAAATATTGTGGCAAAGACAAAAAATATCGCAAACTTGCATTTTTTTTGTGCCAATTACATTCAAATTTGAAATCAGACAAATTCTACTTATAGCAGGAAGCCAAAACAATTGCCTCTTAAAAATCAAAGGGAATTGATCAACCTGAAATTATACCATGAATTTTCACCTTGGCTCTGTCGTAGAGCAAGATAAATTGCTATGTTCAAAAAACAGTAAAGGTTGGGATGTTTTCTTTGTGGTGAAAAAAAATAGGAGACCGATGGGGGTGCAACACAAAACAGCTTTCCTGCTGTACTACTTGAATGACATACTCAGCTTTGACTGGAGAATAATACCTCCATGGATCATTTGCACCTGAAAGCGAATATTTATCACGGGAAGGGGAGTCGGGGGAACAAAGCTCCTCTGTGTATCAGTACCGTCCTTGTCTCTTGTGTGTGTATATATATGTGTCTGTATGAGCTTCTCACCAGCAGTGTTTGCTCTAGATCCACAGGGGAATATGGTGGGGGACCATCCATGCCCCACGGATCTTCTTGTATGAGGTCTGGAGTGGGCAGGCAGATCTGACGAGACACTATGAAATGGACGCGCTCTTCACTTGCCTAAAAAACAACCACAGAAAAATTTGACATGTGTTGCAGTTAAATGGGGAAATTAATTTTATTCTGAGTGAAATTTTCTGGATAGCTAATCTTCACTGCCACTTTGTCGTAACTCTTAGAACTATACTCCAGGCTGACCTACACGCATTCACACATATGCAAGCATACAGCCACACAGACTGGCTGGATACATCCCTCTCCCCATGCTCTCATTCCTTGGAGAGTTCCACGGGTCTTTCTAGCAAAGAGCTGAGTCCTGAATTAGCCAGTCCAGCTCATTATTGCCTTAATTGGACTAATTTAATTTCTATCCTGGCAGTTCTTAATCTCCAACAGAAAGTGCCTACTCTGAGAGGCCATCTTGGCTCCACAGAGACCCAGTAGAGCCAGTCAAACAACCCAGACAGGAACTTGGAGCCCAGAGACCCTGCACAGTCAGCCGCAGACACACTGCAATTAACCACTATTAACCAAAAACACACCATCGTTGACTGGCATCAACCAGGATACAGAGGCAGCCACATGGCCCAGTCCATCAGGGAGTAACCACAATTAAATACTATTAACTGCACTGAATGCAGACACAACAGCACAGCACAACACAATTAGCCTGAATCACCACAATTATCTTTAATACCTCAGGGACTCGCATTAAGATCACAACACAGTTGTTTATGGTCTGTAACAACATGAAGGTGAATTTGTCACAACTGTGAACTTTCTATGTAATGCTAATGCATGCAGTCTTTCCTTGACTTGCTAACAGACCTGAATGAGTAGAGCAGCGTGCTCTGGTGCGCCATAACGTAGATCGTGCCCGTTGATGGCAAGCACGCGGTCACCAATGCACAGTTGCCCATCACGTGCAGCTAGTCCACCCTCCAGCAGGTGAAAGATATACACTCCATGCTCCTCTGGCCGCCTCACGAGCTTAATGCCCAGCTGTTCCTCTGGAGCACTTTTGTTCAGGACCACATGGATGCTATCATCTCTCAAGGGATGATGGGGTAGGCCGTGTGATGGGTGGCCCCCAGTGATGTGGCCATGTGGGTGGCCATGCGAATGCGAACGGTAGCGATGCCGCTGTTCTCTGAGCACGGTTAGCCGGAGGAGTTGGCACGGCTGTTTGAGGGTGGTCACAGCAAAGCAGTGGGGTACGTTGCTAATGTCAATGCCGTTTACCTGAAGGACAAGCGGAAATGTAATTTCACAGAGGACTTTTTATCACTTCCAGCTGCTTTGTTAAACTCACTATACCTTGAGGATCATGTCCCCAGGAAGCAAGCGTCCATCCCGAGCAATGACACCTTCTCTGTAGATATCCTGGATTAGAATGCGAACTAAAGGGGTTTCATTGCCACCGACGATGCTAATGGCCAGTGGCTCTGAGGGATCCACCCGCGTGATCTTAATACTGGTAACTTCACCATCAGGGATCAGGTGATGGAGCTGAGGAAGAGCCACCACTGGGGAAGAAGGAAAAGGCTGTGTTAAGTTCTATTGTACAAAGATCAACAGCCAAAAAGACCCAGCCAAATAAAACAAGAGAGGAAATGGGAGAAAAGGAGAGCGCTGAGAAGGAAAAGACAAACACATCTAGGGAGATGGAGGTATACCGTAGTGTAGAGGTTCAGCAGTGGAGCCAGCTGTCTCTACTCCCTAAGGTTACTAAAACAAACTTGTAGAAGTCAAGAGGGAAAATTTGCTTGGCTGATTATCCTCTGTGATGTTTGTATCATTAGTCACATACATCTGTAGCAAGTATGCTTGGGAAAACCCTCAATTTCACATTTCCACGAAGTTATTACTAGGGTGGGGATGTAAGAAAAGTTGTAATACACACTAAATTTGTACACAGTCCAACTACTTTGATTCACAACAGATTTGTTCCCCTTGTTTTCACCTCAGTACTTGATCATCTGCAAAAAATAAAGGATTCGAGTATAATGCAGACCTCATTATGAGCCTCAGCATTTTTAATGAAAGAGTATGTCTCTTCTAGTTTTATGTCATTCTTTTGTGCAATCCTCCCACATACCCACTGTTGAATTTGTTGAATTTTACTAAATGGCAGAATGATTCATTCTGAACAGGACCATGTGGAAATGGGTGGGGGACATTATCTTGGCTGACAGCCTTGGCCAAAGTCTTTAAGAAGTTGAGTTTTTCATTTCATTTCTTATTCCTAAATGCACTGTTTCCCCTCGTATCTCTGTCTCTGTAGCCTCAGACACTTGTTCCACACTTCGCTGCACTTTTTCCAATACAAAGTCAATATTTTGTCTTTTTTGCAGCATATTGCTTCAAGGGTGGAGAGCACATTAAGAGAGACTCACAGCCGTTATGTAATCCTCCTTTCTCTCCATCATTCACCTTTCAACCTCTGTCTTGCTTCATCTTGTCACATACTTTTTTTACCCACCCCAATGGGACTGTATGATGTGTTTGCTTATTTATTTGTTTTCATTTTATTTTACTCTGCATCCACTCTTCCTTACATTTCTCCAGGATGGAACTATGTCTACTTCACTTTTGCATCCTTCCCGTCTATCTTTGTCTCTCAGTGGCAGGCAATGAATATTTAATCTTTTCTCTCAGCCCCGTCAGTGATGGCCTCTGAGAATAATCTACTCCCAGATCATTCGTCATCCTTCATTCTTACGCAATCCCACGTTCCTTCGTCCAATCACACTGCAATTCTGCTTTAACGTTATACTCTATGGTTGGCTATATTTCCACCACAAGTGCCAGTCTGTAGAGATTACATTAAATATCACTACGGCACATTTTCTTTACTGCATAAATACATCTTATGGTTCTACCACGTCTAGAACACTGCTTTCCCAGGTGAATATATCATCAAGTTGGTAAGGAATGACAGGATATGGTAGAGTTGAATAGAAGGATGAGATAAAAAAGAAAAACAGGTAGTGGAGACAGAAGGAAGAACATCATCTGCTTTATCTTCAGCGACCTCTGGCCATCCCATCCCTCAGGCTACCATTCTCCCCTGATCTGTCTGCACAAGCTTATGCAATCTACAGCTGAATTATTAAAGAAACATATACTACTGTTACACTGTGGGACCCAGCTGTGTCACCCTCCATATAAAGCTGAGGAAACAAGTATACACATTCGGGGAAACACAGAAACACAGATATAAAAGTTTTAATCCATACCTTCCTGTGGCACACTGGAATTCCTGGCATTGTCTCTTTCCTCAGATGTCTCATTGCTAACAGCGTTGCCACTCTTAGTCCTCCTCAAGACGCTGAAGGCCCTGTTCAACCTTCTGAAGGAGCGACTCCTCACTGAAGAGCGATCAAAATTTCTGACTGCAGGGGTGAAAGAGAGGCACTTTAAAGATGACCTCACCCTCAACATGCCCAGACATGTCTGAATCTCACTCACAGCCAATGGAAAGCTTTCTCAGAGCTGCACCAAAGACATTAAGCAATCTGTGATCCTGTTGCAATTACCTGTATAATGCAGGAAGACCTGTTTGAATAATACCCATAACCCTTAAATCTCTAAAGGATCTAAACAGTGCAAAGTGATATTACTAAAGAAGAGTGTCCAGTTTTGTTAGGGTTTTGGATTAGCTTCCCTTTTTTTGTGAAATGAACATAAGAATTACATTGTTCAAAGCACTGTGCATTGATCAGCACAGTGCTTTTCTGTGTTGTATCACTAGTTGTGTTTTTGACTCTTTCTAAAGTGAGCTTAACAGTCCACCTTGCATACAAAGGGTGGGTTAGCTTTGGAAGCCTCAATCCCTAACTCTGATTCAACACTGGATTAGGGGGACTGTGCTTGATATTTAAGGAACTTTTTGAAGCTTCCACACGCACTTCAAACTTGCAGCATGGAGGTTAGCATTCAGAAACTGAAATTTATTTTTGTAGTGCAAACAATTAATGGAATTTCTTATATGAACCAAGTGGAATGTCATGGTTGTCCTGTAAAAGAGACCGTCTCTTCCTTCTACATTTCAGTGTGTCCATTTGGTATTTTTATTTCCGCTGTGGTCAGAGTGCATGCCTTATCAATGAGTTTCGAGAGACCACAAACTGCCTCTCAGGCTGAACAATGCTTTTTTTTTTCTTTTTTTTGCACTGTTAAAATAGAGAGCTCAAAAAGAAAAAACACATTCCAGCTGCAAATTTCACCATATTCAGGTAATGTGTGAGTCGAGGCTTTAAGAAAATACTACTACTCCCCCAAAGAAACAATGATATTAGCAAATAAAATACTAATACTCAAGTCAAGGTACCTCTTGTTATGAATCCAAGTGTAGCATAGGATTATTGGAAGCAATACATTACTTAATCGTGCTGATTTTTGTTTACAAGTAAAATTTTGGGGAAAACACTGGGGCCCCCTTAATCTTCTTTACTTTTTCTGATATAACAGAAAACTTTTCTTTTCCCTCTTTGGGCTATGTTTTTGTTTTTTTTGGCAAGTTTTAAAAAGTTCAAATCTTTTGAAATGCGTTCAGCTGATAGTCCTTTAATTAATAAACCAAATCCGTGCACAGTAAAGTTACATGGTTGCGTAACAACAGTAGTGGACTCTAGCGACTGGTACCAAAAGAGACCCTCCCAGAGAGGCTCTTGTCTGTACTTGTACTTTGCTTTTTAGGCTACAGGAGCTTCCATTGAAGACAGAAGCCCCAGCCCGGCTGCTCGGAGCACGGGACAGCAAGCTTCTGCAGTGCCCCTCCCTCCCTCTGCAGGCCCATGGAGATGTGAAGGCTCCTGACAGCCACATTATTCTTTAAAAGCGCGAGCCGCTTCTGGAGCTGACAGCTTGTTCAGCAGTAGTGGTGCTTGTGGTGGTGGCGGAGGGTGCTCAGTTGACCAGACCTAAAGTGCTGGTGCAGCGTCATTTGGTTTCCCCACTGCCTATGCGCTTACTTTAGCAGAGCAATGGACGGGCAGATAGGAACACTCGTGACTGCTTCCTGGTTTCACAGGTGGGAGAAATGAGGGAAGAGCTGCGATCACGTCATTGGGCATTAACACACACTTGCACAGGCTATATTTAACCTACCTCTCCTTCCATTTCTCCTTGACTGCATAATGTGCCTGCATCTCGGTGACTTTGTCTCTATGTGTTTCTCTGCTTTTTTCCACAGAGAGATTTTATAGATTGGTGAAGCTGGTGTTATGTGTCATGTCATCTGCGGGTGTAAATATATGTATGAATACAGATCTTTGGTGCTTGGTTTTGACTGCAGACCGTGTAACTGTGACTGGAGATCTCTGTACTCTGTTGGTTTTCAGTCTGTCACTATGGCAAACAGACACCTTTTTAGCTCTTTCTCTTGCCAGATAACGTCATATGGCATTGAACATGAGCACACACAAACATCTATTCGCCCACTCACACTCACTCTTCTTTGTGCTACTCCGAGCAGCCAGGCTAGTCGTGCTGCCTGACTGACTATTATCCTCCATGCTGGGGTCAAAGGCAGGGTTGACCAGACCTGGTTCATCTGACAGGAGGGCCACAGCAGCAGAAGTGGGGCCATCATTGGGCAGGGTGGCAATGGTGAGTTCTGAGGTGCTGTCAGTGCATTCGCCCTCCTGCGAGCGTCGCTTTCTGTCTGCTGAGAGCCCATAGTGAGAGGCTCCTTTACACCTACACACACAAAAAACAAAATGTCAGTAGCAAACTCAAATTACAAAGTGGCTGCAATTATTACTAGACGTGTTCATAAATTGATGACATTGATGATGTTTTAAAACATGCTCCAACTCCCTAATAAACTGAATTCTGAAGCAGTCAGAGTGAAAGTCAACACATTTGCGTTAGCAGCCAATGAAAAGGTCAGACTCTCAAGACAAATGCAAGCAGATTTCAGCATGTCCTCCACCCTCAGGCTTTATTCATGCCGACCTATATCTTCTGCTCGGGGATGGCCTCACACAAAGGCTGCTTATCTGACCTTAACACTCAGACAGCACCTCTCTGAGATACCACACAGGCTGTACAATAAACCACAACAACATATGGTAAGGGAAGATACATTTTCTAGTGCTCCCATTTAGAATTCATCTGTCATGCCATCTGAGGATGGTCTAAAAATTTCATACTTACTCTCACATAAAGAAAAAAATATATAAAAAGAGTTTTTGTACCATCTTTGTGACAGTATGTGCAATCACATGTAGGTTGGGTTTTCTGCTTTGAGTGTGAGCGTTCCTGACAGATGATTGAATACAAATGCAAGACAGAGAGCGGGTAACTGACACAACATGTGAATATAAAACAGAAGTCGTTTGATAGTTGTTTTTCTCAAAAACAAATCTAATTCCTAAGTTCCAGCTGTCAACAACACAGCCGCAACACATTTCCACAGTCTGTCATACATAGACACACATACAATTATACACACATAATGCTACAAGCCACGAAAGGCTTTTCACACTGACAATATTAAATTGGGAATGTTTGTGTGCGAATTAAAGATATCCCTACAGAGCATGGTATTCTATTGCTGCAGAATTTTCTTCCATCTGAAAGTCATAAAGGCTTTGAGCTGATGCTTCATCAGATGCAGGAATAACTCTGGCTTGTCTCTCCGGCTGTCTCTGTGGAGCCATCAGCACAAACATTAACTGGGTTTTAATGAGCTGGATCAAACCCAGGCTTTGCTTCAACAGTAGCTCAGAAAAACAAGAGAAGCAGCACCCATTCTCCTGTGCTGTGGTCTGACAGGTAGGATATTAAACCAAAAAGGAGATGTAAATGAAAGCAAAGTACAATCGTGGGCATCATAGCAGTTACAAAAAGAAACTAGATTACTCACTGAGCCAGGTAAGCCATCAGCCCCTTAAGGGCACCACATCACTGGAAGTGGTATTTTGTCTCTATAATAAATATGTCTCAGTGGGGCATGCTGCTTTCTGTTCATATTTGGCAAGGAAAATAACTGAATCCTGAAGTAGATTCTACTTCCGAGCTGTAGTCAGGTACAACATTACACAAAGCTGAAATGCCCATTGATCTTCCTCTGACCTCAGAAACGTACTACTGCGTTACGTCGCATGTGTCTGCCTGCGTGTGGGCTGTGCCACGGTGTTATTCTTGTTCATTCAGTTAGTAAATTGAACGCTATCAAGCATGTCCATTCAGCAACATACCACTTAACTGAGTGAAGTGGCTGAATAGAGTAATATTGCAATCAAGAGGAGAGGAGAGGGCAGCTCTGCAGTCTTGAGGGGCAGAAACTTTCCTCACGTCACTCACTGTCAATTAGAAAACTTAAATCTAAATTCAGCTTGTGCACACTGCTCTGAAAGCAGAAACTCCCCACCTGTGCACAAATATACATGGAAACAATACATATATGCACATGGTACAAAGTGAACCTTTCTCTTAAATGCAATACAGAAACTGAAAATTGCAAAACAACTTGTGAACATAAGTGACGATTTTAGATGTCCTATCATTGTCACCTGATTATATAAACAGATTAGTATTTCTAAGACTCCAGAGTCCAGAAGCTCTTGTGAGATATTATGTGTTGCAAATAACCATGGAAAACCTTCTGGCCTTTATATTTTTACTGGCACCATTGAAGGGCAAAGCCATGCAGCACTAATCAGAGTGAGGAGAGCATTAGTCATCCTCCTGTATGTTAGTATTGCTTTAAAGACGGCATTGCTGGATTGACAGTTGATCAGTGGCTAATTTATTATTCAGATGGTGCTGGTTGAAATATCCCTTACCATAAGAAAACATTGCTAGTGAACTGACCAGTGTAACCATTTACATACTGTACTGAAGTACAACTTTTATGTATTTGTACTTTATGTATTTCTATCCTATGATATTGGTAGTTTCTTATTCGATTCCACTGTATTCTGGAGGCAAATCTTGTACTTTAAACTCCGCTAGATGAATTTCATGGCCATAGTTATCATTAAATGCAAATTTAGATTAGAAATATAAAATATAATCACACTTGCAAATGATACAATATTATTATAGATTAAGCTACTCAGCAGTATATAAAGTAATTACGGTTACTTCCAGCTGAAGCATTAACCTTACATGAATTTAATGAATGAGTGATCCAGGAATTTAATGAACCCTATATAACAGTGAAATTGGACATTTTGCATTACCAATAACTATGCTTTGATATTAATTAAATGGTATTTTGACTTTTCCTTTGAACTTTTTAATACTGTAGCATTACTGCTTTTTGTTGTGAGAGATCTCAGATATTCTTTTCAACAGTGTACAAAACAGCTTAATCAAAAATGTTTTTAGATTTTAACGCAGTACAACTTTTCCTGTAATGCTATTTGTATTAAGGCACTGGGCGCTGGACAACAGCCTGAAAATCGTGTTCGATATTTTCTAAGCCAATTTGCAACGCTGGATTTATTCCTGATAGAATTTTCTGGCTTCCCATGGTTCCCTCTTAACTACTTCTTGGTCCCCTGTCTGCCATCACACAGAAAAAATAAATACATCCTGGAATCACTCAGCCTGCAAAAAAGACGGGGTTGTTTGGATGCAAGAATCAGTATCATGGCGTTAGATTCTCAGTTAATATCGATGCATCATGCATTAGTCATACAGAAAACTACTTAAAAGGATGAAAGAAGAAGACTTTTAGTTAGGCCTTAATTTTCGTAATATTATAGTAGGTATGTTAATGCAGCTCTGACTATTTCTGTAAAACAATGTCCTTTTTTATTTCAAGTGTTTCTGACTTACATGTGTGACTGCTTTTCTCCACACACCCACACACTGATTTCACAGGTATTGTACTGTGTATAAGTAGTGGTCATGGCGAATATATGGAGTTCAATACTTAGACAACATTCTCCTGTTTTAGCATGAGTAGTGGAAAACGGAAAACCAAAGTCAGACTGTGGAAACGTGCAAATACTATTGAATACGGGTTCATTCAGTTTTTACAGACCACCCAAAACTTGGAAAAAATGTCAGAAAAAAAAATTAACGAATGCCACCAGCTTTGCTACACACCAGCTTTGAATGTGTGCGTTGCCAACAGATCACCTAAGATCTCGAAGGCTTCATTTCTTGCGCTGTGATGGGTCTCAGATAAAGACATGACAGAAATATATTGAGACCCCTTACACTTTGAAACTTATAGGCGTCATAATACAAAGTCTGTGAGATAGCAGCATAGCGCTATTGTTTAGTTCGGGACCAGTTTATTAAAGGCTTTGTCTTCTGTTAATTAAAATCTCCTCTCTTTTCTTTAGGGAATAGGAGTTGCCTTAAAACAATAGCCGTATCTCTGCTCCTTAGAGTTTTAATGTCTGTCTTTTAATGCTAAGTCCAGAATCTGCACTACATGAGGTTGAAGGCAGGGAAGCATGATAGAAAGCCCTTGTCTCTCTCACCAGGGTGGTCCTGCAACCTTAGAGCCAAAGAAAATGAGCCAATTAAGTCTGTACACTGGAGAGGTGAAGTGCTTGCATATCCACAGAGAAATACACAAACAGCATACACTTCTCTTTATTTCCATTTTTATTTTTTATTTTTACATAATATCATGAAACATATCCTTTTATTTTAAAAATGGGACTTTGAGTGCTTATGCAAAGCTGTTTTTCGGCATCATGTTTCAGGAGATGATCACTCAGCTTAGAGGATGCTCATTAGCACTGCAGTATACTTGTCCTGGTCAGCCTCAGTTATCACATCATCTCTCTAAACCCCAGGATCTGTGACAAGATAAAGAGCGAAGACACCATAATACCTTAGCGCTCAGCCCCTCCTGCTCCCTTTTACGCAACTACCCTCCCCTCCTTTTTCCCGCACTCTTTCCAGAGCAATAACAATTACCCATGATGCTTTCGGAGACACGCTGATCGTGCCCAAGCGCCCTGGCTGTTCATGTGATGTGAAATAAACACCAGCTCACAACTCATCAAAGCCCTTGAGATTCTCCAATCCTCTTTAGGGGTGAGTGGATTATCCTTTCTAACCCAAATACTCTCTCCGCTCCCTGACTGCCACGGACAGTCATGTTGGGCCACAGTCCGCATACAACGCAAATTACCTCTGATAAGGTGACAATTCCAGGTCAGACAGTCAGCTACAGCAACTGGGCTCAGCGCATACTTTCAAATGTAGGTAACAGATTATAATGATACATGCAGTTTGGAATCTAAAGCACTGTTTAAACACAAACTCACACTTTTAGTCTGTGGTGACACAGCCTCTGTTGACCTGCCTGTGAACTACAGTTTGACTGGCGTTGCATGACTAATGTGCCTTTCTTCTAATTCTTTTATTAATGTTAAGTGCAGCGGCAGGTAGTTGTTCTTGATGAGTGCTGGCTCCTATTGCCAACTTTCAGATGGGTTTGAAAATATAACGAAGACATATAACGTGTGAGAACCCAGGAGAAATAAGCAGACGCTACACTGTGAGCCCGGAAGTAGACTGCACATGTGTGCGTATGTATATGTGTGTACAGAAGGTTTTACTGTGATATGTAAACAGTATATATACAGTTTCATAGTCATTTTATGGCTTAAAATGCTCCTGTCTGCCACACTGTAAACACAAAAATAACCAAATGATTGCACAAAAAGGCAAAAGCAATATTTGTTTTTGCTGTTTTGCACCATTGGTATGTAAGGTAT